GAGAACTTCAACAGAGAGACAGGAAGCATAAAAATGGAGATGGAAACCATAAAATAGAACCAGTCAGAAATAAAAGATACAACAATGGAAATGAAGAATATATTACAGGGAATCAACAGTAAATTAGATGAAGCAGAGGATCCAGCCAGCAATGTAGAAGATAAGGTAGCAGAAAACACCCAACCAGAACAGCAAAAAGAAAAAAGAATCTAAAAAATTGAGGAGAGTTTAAGGGGCCTCTGGGACAATATCAAGTGTACCACCATTCACATTATAGGGGTACCAGAAGAAGAAAGAGGGCAAGGAATTGAAAACCTATATGAAGAACTAATGACAGAAAACTTCCCTGACCTGGTGAAGGAAATAGACATACAAGCCCAGGAAACCCAGAGAGTCCCAAACAAGGTAAACCCAAAGAGGCCAACACCAAGACACATCATAATTCAAATGCCAAAGGTTAAATACAAAGAGAGAATCTTAAAAGCAGCAAGAGAAAAGCACTTAGTTACCTACAAGGGAGCCCCCATAAGACTGGCAGCTAATCTCTCAACAGAAACCTTGCAGGCAAGAAGGGATTAGCAGGAAATATTCCAAGTGATGAAAAGCAACAACATACAGCCAAGATTACTCTACCCAGCAAAGCTTTCATTTAGAATTGAAGGACATAAGGAGCTTCTGAGACAAGAAAAAGCTGAAGGAGTTCATCACCACCAAACCGGTATTATAAGGAATCTTAGAGGGACTTCTTTAAGATGGGAGGGGGGTTAAGAACGGGTGAAAGGGGAAGGAATTAAGAAGTACAAATTGGTTGTTATACAGTAGTCATGGGGATGGAGGGTATAGCATAAGGAATATAGTCAATAATATTGTAATGACCAGGTATGGTCCCAGATGGGTACTAGATCTATCAGGGTGATTGACGGGAATGGGGTAGGGGCAGGGTGAAAAAGATGAAGGTATTAAGAAATACAAATTGGTAGTTAATACAGTATGGGGAATATAATCAACAATGTTGTAAAGATCATGTAAGGTGCGAGATGGGCACTGGACTTATCAGGGGGATCACTTCATAGACTGTGTCCAATGTGCTATACACCTGTAGCTGAAGTAGAATAATACTGAACGTCAATTATAACTAAATATATTGGTATATATAGTCATGAGATGTGGAGTACAATATAGGGAAGATAGTCAATAGTATTGTAACAGCTATATAAGATGTAAGAGGGGGCCGGCTGAGTGGCGCATTGATTAAGGGCTGGCTTGGGACGCCAGAGGGCCCCAGTTTAGATCCCACATATGAGGGCCAGTGATACTGCCCTCTACAGCTAAGATGCTGAACAACAGCTCAACCTGGAGCTGGGCTGCCGTGAGTCGCCAGTGTCAGGTAGGCTGCAGCCCCTGCTGCAGTGGGTTGCCATGGGCTACAGTGTGTAGCCAGCAACCAGCATGAGCAGCCAGCAGCCACCATGAGCTGCTGTCCAGAAGCCTGCGACTGATCTGCCTCACCAGGGAGGAGCGCAATGATGGTGCCAACTTGGGCCAGTGAAGCAACGTCCTCCACAACTAGACTGAAGAACAAAAAAAAAGGACACCGACTTGTCTGTTCCCCTTCCCCCAATTCCCCAGCACTGTTCCCATCCCCCAATTCCCCAATTAAAAAAAAAACCAAAAAACCTTTAAAAAGAAAGATGTAAGAGGAATACTAGCTTGGGGAGTGGATTATCACTTTACGAGGGGTTTAAATGTCTATTATGTTGCTTTGTACACCTGAAACTAATAAAAAGAAAGAAAAAAGAAAAGGAGAAACACAGCAATTGGGCAATCCAACTAGATCCCAGAGGTCTGATATTCCCTCTGCTATGTGTCATACCAGCAGTCAAAAGTTCTTCTAAATCTTAAAGATTTTTTTTTAATGGTTGCATAATACAAAACCAAGTCTTCAGTACCAAATACTATGCTAAATATTGTAGTTTCTGGTTACCAAAGCTACTTTATTAAAAATCTTTAAAGTAGACAAACAAACAAAAAGAATAAAAATCAATGTTATGTTAGACGGTAATAAGTGCCACGGAGCAAAACAGAGCATGAGAAGGGGATAGAAAAGGCTCCGCTTGTAACCTCTCCTTGGTTGTGAGCTGTTTAAGACCAGGGCATAATCCTTCTTCTGTATCGGTAGCATTTATCACAATGTCAGCTGTATATTAAGTGCCGCACACGGGTTTCCTGAATGAAAGGACTGAATAAAAACAGTATTGAGGAAAGAATTTTATCTCATGAAATCATTGTAATGTAGCTTACCTGGACACTTTTACGGGCTTCCAGACAGGTAATAATTATGTCAGCAAGAATGGTGCCCTTCCCTTCTCCTTGTTCTCGCTGGCTGTTTAAGTCTCCTAGCCACTGCTTTATTTTTTCCTGGAGTCAGAATGGTTTTAATGTACTTTCTGAATAATGACATATGCTTGATTTAAAAAAAAACAAAAACAAAACAGCAACAAAACTTACATGCATTTTTAAGGCTTTGGCTGAATAATAAATGTGGAAAATCATTTGACAAATGATTCAGTATGTCAATTTTTGTATTAAGGAGTTTGGTATTATACAGTTTCTGAAAAATTGCATGCATTTCAACCTCTGTTCCTTCCACCATTCCTGTTATTTTTAAAGTACCATAAACTAAATATAAAAGGAATAAGAAAATTTTATTTGTATGGTGGCTTGATGGGTTGAAATATTTAAGGTCTGCAAATTTGGTGGACTGCAGGACTGACTATAAGATAAAAGAATTAACCTAGAATATTGGACATAATCTATCTCCTACTGTGTTTCCCCGAAAATAAGACTGGGTCTTATATTAATTTTTGCTCCAAAAGATGCATTTTATTCATTTATTCATGTATAAAAATCTACATTTATTCAAATACAGTCATGTCTGGCTGACGATCTTAACTGGGGCTTACTTTGGGATAGGGCTTATATTACGAGCATCCTGAAAATCATGCTAGGGCTTGTTTTCCAGTTAGGTCTTATTTTAGGGGAAGCACGGTAGTTGGGGTTGTGTGATGAACGTACTAGGTAACATATGCAAAATTGCCTTCTGAGCTACTACTTATGTAATTACAAAGCTTAATGCTTATATCATGCACTATAAATTCCATGAGGGCAGGAACTTTGTTTACTGCTGTATATCCAGTACTGATCACATACACTTGGCAAATATATGAATATTTGTTTTAATAATTAATTATTTCATAGGAGAAAACTTTCTTTGCATGATTTCATGGCAGTACAATTCTTTCAAGTTAAAATCTGAATTCCTGTTATTCAATATTTATTCAATTTAGTTGACAGTGTACTTTGCCAGTCCCAAAAAATGATATACACAACCTCTACTCAAGCTCAAAGATACTATCTCCTGAACTATTGATGCCTTCTTTCTTTCTCTGCCTAAAGTCTTTCAAAATATCCAGCTCAAACAAAAAAAATTTCCTTTGCGCTATCTCAACACATGCCATTATTTGACTTCTCAGACTGTTAATTAAAAATAAAACATTTTAATGCCTTATTCGTTTTTGCATTTCTGTTCCCAGGGACTAGAACAGCGCTTTGAATATGGTAAACATCAAATAAATATTTGTTGATTTAATTATTTCCACAACATATCATTCACTTATAATTTTTATTCCAATGAAGGTAAATCAATTTCCTCAAACTCTTCCTTTATCCCACATAAAGGTGAAATTATTGTTTTGAGGAATTATTAAAACGCATTCTTTGCTATAAATGCAACTTGCCATAAAAAATATTGCAGTAAAGTCACAATCTACTAGAAAGGTCAATAAATAACAAGCTGGTTATTTTCCAATTTCAGTAATCTGTGTTATATCTTACGCTTTGCTTGAACTCCTATTCCTTGTTTTCCCCCCACCATGATTTTATCCAATTAATAAGGTTGAAAAAATGGCAATTGTTTTTCTGTATTCCAAATTTCTAGTGCACTTCACCCCCTAAATCATTCCATGTGAAAATTAGGTACTTAGGAAAGCCTGTAATCCATCATCTAAAGAGCTGTATTTAGTGTTGAGTCTAAAAAAAAAAAAAAATTGAGTGTGTGGCTGGGGAAGTGCTGGGTGTACTTTAGTGGTAAGTGGATCGCTGGGCCAGGTGCAAGACTCTGGGGTTTTTATGTGTCCCTGACCAGCTATCTCCACATAAAACTCCGTTTATTTATTTGACTGCGCTACTGCAGAACAGAGTGAACTTTAGCGCCACTCAAACCAGTTTTGTACAGATTTTAAAATGCTTGAACTGGCGGCTCCTGATTTTTACCATAAAACGACCCAGCAGTATCCATGGCAGATTTGTCACCCTATTTCAGGGCCCCTTGCGGGGGGTGGGGGGGAGGCTCATACAAAATTATGACTTTGGATTTGAACGCACAACCCAAATAAAAGCAAATGCACGGAGATATGTACACTTGACAACTGTGACATAGCTTTGTTAAAACTTGCCCCTCCAGCGGCTGGGTGCGATGGTCAGGACGACCGGAGCCCGTGCAGCCCCGGGGCGGGCGACAGGGCTTAAAGCACCCTGATTTTCCCCAGCGCTTTGTTTTTCCTATCACAGTGGTACAAAAATAGCAAAGCAGGGACGGGAAGTCGCCCCGCCGTGTTTTTGTTGTATATGTATGTTTTTCCCGGCTGGCACTGGGAAGAGGGAAGGAGGAAACGGGAGCTACACGAAACCCGCCTCCAGGGAGCCACCGCGCCTCTGCAGCGGGGTTCGGGCGAAGCGCTCCAACCACTTCCAGAACGCTTCCAGCCGCTTCCGCAGGCCCCGCCCCTGCCGGGGTTTCCCCGCCACCCGCTTCATTTGCATAGCACAGCTCCTCCCCCGTTGCCATTGGCTGGCGCCGCGCCCCGCCCACTGTTCCTCCACCACCGCAGGGTTCCGTCCCCCGAGCCGCTCGGAGCTGCGGGCAGCGGGCGGACTGTTAAACCGCGGCGGCAGCGGCGGCAGCCGGGGCGGGAGCGGGGCGCACTCTGCAGACGAGTCAGCGGCGCCCCGGGTTGGGGGAGGCGGGCGGGCAGCTAGAGATCACCTCAGCAGCCCCCACCACGGCCGAACCGAAGGTGCGGCGGCGGAGGGGAGCCAGGGCACCCCAGCAGGCGAGTGGCCGGCGTCTCAGCGGTGGGCTGAGGTGGGTGGGTCTCCTCTGCTTGGGACGGCGGCAGAACGGGGAAGGGAGAGCGAAGACCGCCGGGTGGACTTGCGGGCCAGACGACCGACCAGCAGCCTCCTCGTCCCCCGAATTCTCTGGGCTGTTGGACTCTGGGTCCCGGCACAGGATTCCGCTCTAGGGCAGGGGTCGGACCACAGCCAAATTTAAACGGCTAAACCTAACAGCCTTGGCAGAAGCTGGAGGGAGGGGAGGGAAGGGGTGGAGGGAGGGGTGGGGGCGGACCTAGTCGCGGTCACGTGGGGAAGGGGAGGGGCTTGGCAGGCCTTCCTTTTGTTTTGGCGGGCGCGTGCGCAGAAGGCAGGACACGTGGTCTGGGCCCGCCCCTTGCCTCGGCGGCCACGCCTCAGTGGGTGTGGTTGTAGTGCCTCTGTTTTGGGGAGCTCTGGGTCTGTGCCGGCTGTGTTGGATGTCACCCTTGTTTTGTTTCATACTTTATTTCAGGCAGACGTTGATTTGGCCATTCCATTAGATGGGATGGAGGTGGAGAATCTAGAGAAGTACTGAGGAATGGTGTTCCTAAGTTTGTGTCAGCTCGATGTGCTGAAGGGACCTATGTTGCTGGAAAATTTGCGGTTACTTGGTAAAATTTGTTTGGTAGCAAGAAATACAAGACTATGGTCATTATAGAAACCATTGGAAAGGAAGACGTTAGTCCTGCAACGAAGCGGGAAGGCACTGGATGGATGTGCTTACAATGTTTTCTTCGAGAAAATTAGCGTTTGATTCGTTCCCTACCCGATCTGTCCGAGGCAGATCCACTCCTCCTCTGGTCAGCGGTACAGGTTTTTTTTTTTTTTCTTTTTTTAAAAACTATGGGAAAGTTTTAAAAACACATTAAAAGGGAAAGCACATTCCCTTTTGCTTTCCCCAAACTTGAGTCAGCTGGCGAGATTTAAGAGGATAGCTTCTTTCGTCTTTCCTTAACCGGTCTGCTTAACTTCGTTTGGGTCGGTAGGAATGTTTTTAAAATACAGGGTGAGGCAGGTTTGTTAGCAACAAAACCGAAAAGTGAGATATTTACCAGTACTGCAGACAAAACCGGCAGTGTTTTTGACTAGGAAAAAGCAGCTCTAAAGATAGTATTGGAGGAAAACCTGGAGTTCTGGAATGTAGATTGCTTGAGAAAGAGGCTTAGCTGTGAGTGGTCTCTGCTGTATCCGATTCTTAACTGGCTGTTTTGGGCAAGTCACAACTTCTCCGATCTCAATCTTCGGAGATTTTCTCTTGTAAATAGCTTCATAGTATTGTTCCTGCCTTAAGAGATTGTTATGAAATCAAAAGCCTTGTGTTAGTAAAAGTGATTTATAATCTTTACCAACATTACAAATACAGAAATTGCCACGTAATACTGTTTTGTAACACAAGTCGGGATTTTTTTTTTTTTAAGCCAGCATACCGGAAAGACTATAAACAATGAATGAATCATGAAATAGGATATATTTGAATGTCCTATAAATCTGTTGTATCTATTTGATTTTCCCTCAGTTTCCGCCTGCTTATTCAGATTAGTGTCAAGGGTGCCACCATTTCTTTTAATCTAGATAGCCATTACTTCTTTTCCTCCCACTCTCCTGGAGCAATTATTTTTACATGAAACTTTTCTTGATCCAGGCCAATCTTATCACATTGATGTTTTTACTTTTTGTGTGTATGATGTGCGCCCTTTAATTGCTTATTTTGTTAAACTTGTTTAGTACAAAATAGTTTGGAAAATCAAGATGAGTCAGAATAAGAAAAACAAATAATTCGTATTTCTCGCTAAATATTTTCCAATGCATTTTTGTGTATTTTTCTTAAAAATGGGATCCAGTGGCATTTTCATCTGACTTGACCTCATAGACATTCCCATGTCATTAAATAGTCTTTGAAAAAGTTATTTTTGGCTGCTTTACATCATGTAACTATCGTAAATATATATTTTTTCTATTGGCAGATGTTTGGGATGTTTCTAATGTTTTACTAGTATAAATTTCACTATAGAGAATGGTCTTTTACATAAATTTTTGAAAATTTTTTTCCGTAGATTTGTAAAAGAGGAATTACTGGGTCAAAGTCCATGTGTGTATTTGTTTAAGCTCTTGTAACATCACGAAATTACCCTCCAGAATATTTTGATTCATACTCATCTAACATATGAGCATGCCTCACATTACATCTTTGTTCATAACCTGGTATTACATTAAAATGAAAACTTTGCTTTAATTTGCATAAATTTTTTTCACTTAATGTCTGAGATCTGTATTTTCTTAACTTACTGTAAGCTGTGAGAAGGAGAGGAATATATGTAATATTTGACATGCTGCAAATCATAGTGGATGCTCAGTAAATACTTGCCAGTTGGCTGTTAATATTTGCCTTTTTGACCTCTGGGAGGTCAGGAAATTATGTCTTACTTTTTTTCCTTACTCAATTTATGAGTACATTGTTGGCAATATACTACTTACTATTATTTCACTGATCCATTACCTTGAGTACTTATTTTTGCTAGGGGAGGGGGGCATTGATTTTATCACAGTTGTCTACTAAAAGGTCCAATGACTTCCCAATTGCTGCATTATCTGAGTTCCATCCACCTTTGATGCCATTTATCATGATAACTTTCATTTCCTTCATTCTTTCATCTATCTTGTATGGAATTCACTTATAATTTCACTTTGATTGGTCTAGTTTCAGTGTAGCCTTTTCTATCTTAAAAAAAAAGCCTACTGTCTAAAGTTGCTTTGTTTCATTATTCAGATTGTTCTTGATAACCCACCAATTATTATATGTAACATCTTTTACTACTGTTAATCTACCACATGAAATTTGTCATATGTAATTTTTGTTTTCATAATTTATTCAGTTATTTATCTCTTCATGTCCTTTTACATTTGTCTACACAGTATTAGTAGTTGAAGGAGGCAGAAATCTATTTCCTTCAGGTTTAGAATTGTGTTTAGGATTGTTTACTGATGAGGTTCTTCACATTATAAACAGCAAGGAATGGAGCTGCTTGCAACAAAAGTGACAGCTAATAGGTAATTACTAGTATCCAATTTACTGACTTTAAAGCATATCATCTCTTATACCTCTATCCTTGTACATAATGACCTTGAGTCATCATACAGTCTTACATTATTTTCAGTATGTTTTGTTTAGAAAGGCAAGGAAGGTGTATGTATCATTTCCAAAAGATTTGTTGGTTTGTTTGTTTTTTTCCTTTCTAAATGTTGTCTTGAAGAGAGATTTCACTGAAGTCTGCTGCTTATTCTCTGATCATGTGGGACAAATAAACTACCACCAAACGTTAACAAAACTGGTATTGTACTTGCCTGTAGACAGTTTATAATGAAAATCTGAAGACAATTTATAATGAAAAATTTAAATATTTGATAATATTCTTTAGGTTTTCAGAAACACCTTATGGATGCGAACATTCTAAGTATTGCAGAAATAGGAGAAAATGCATTCATTTATAATATTGAGGCTTTGTTAATAGTTTTAATGAACTTTTTGCTTATTGTTTCCAATCCTGTAAGACCAAGTATTCTCAAACATGTTTTTAAAAGTAATTTTTTCTATTTGGTAGTAGATCATTAATCAATGTTTAACCACATGAAGTTAAATAGGAGCCAAAATCTATAGACTGAGCAAATGTGATAGTGTACTTCTAAATGTAAATTTCTGGAACCAAATTGATGTAATGTACACAGAAAAAAAAAGAGACTCTTCATTTATATTTCCATGAGTCATGCATTTGTAACTGAATAGTAATAATTCTGCTTAAAGTATGATCTGTTTAATACGTTATGTGGCCACCCAAGTGGCTTTATCTTTAATTAAATTCTTTTAGTCTTTAAAGAGAATTCCTTTTTAGGCATAGTTTTCAAAGTGGAAGTTTTTGCTGTAAACATTGTTGAGTACAAAGTACTGAGGCAACTACCCTGGTCATTCCAATTACTGCAGTGAGACTGTCCATATGTAGCATAAAGAAATCTTGAAAACAACACTATATTTTGTATTCATACCTTTCATTAATTCCTAGATTTTAGAGGGACAAAATTATACCAATGTAAATCTCACTACTTTTATTGTTTTGATTGGATTTTCCTTTGAGTTACAAATTAGATATTGAGTTCCTATATATTTCAGTAATGTTTAAAAGAGCTGCTTATATTTTGCTAAAGGAATTTTTTTCCTACTCTTTCTTTGTTGTAATAGATCAGCTATGTGAAACACATTTAAGTTGTAAGTGTGGAAATAATTTAATATTTGTTCCTATTTCAGGGTGTTCCTTCCCATCTCTCAAAATGCTGAAAGTCTTTTCACTTTCTTTTAACTTGCGGATGAATCTGCCTTGTTTGTGATACTTTAATTCCTACTTTGTGTTTCTGCTCTGCATTTAAGAGAATTGGGATTATCCAGATTCCAGCTGAAAGAGCAAATGTAATGTTCAGGGGTAGATTTGGCTAGGATATTTTCTGTGAACTATCTGAAATGTACATTTGTGTGCTAGATTATAAATCATAGTAAAATCTGGAGCGGTTTTCTGGGGGATGGAAAATCAGATTTGGTCTTTAGTTTTCAATGTTTATGCTTAGGAGGAAGGGTGGTTCTTATCTAGATTGTCTAGTGGTTCTTCTTGTCTAGATTGTCTAGATTATCAGTTTCAGCTCTGTAGACTATATTATATTAACACATTTTTTATTTTTTTTAAAAAGTATGCCAAAAATTGTTTGGTATTTGTGACCTATATATTAATTTGTACAGACCTGATTATCAAGTGTTTAGATCAACTCTATTGACATCGTAATTATCTTACTATGTACAAGCATCTTTTGAGGGATGACATAATATTTATTGTATCTCATGTTGAAGGGATGAGATTGCATTTAATGCTAAATTCATAAATATGTACGACTTACAAATCTTAGAAATAAAGATGGT